GGAATCTATTCTAGTCCAAATAGTTTTATTACAATGCATTTAACAACTCGTCAAATTCAATAAAAAACAACACGTATACTCGCGAATAATAATGAACCACAATAGAATTAACATAGAGATTTTTAAAAAGTAATCTGTACAAATAAAATGATAGAGGTTTGGAGTTGTGCGCGCATCACGGAGAAATTACTGGATAGATTTCAATTAATATTGCTAAGTTTTATTTCTTAGACACTTGGCCTTTATCTAAAAAAAATATTATATCTTCAATTAATATAAAGTTATTAAGGTTTTAAGCAACAACGATTTTTATAAGCACTAAGTGTTCAGTGATGTCTGTTTTCTTTATTATTATGTCAATAATCAAGCTAGTTATCTTTATATATAAAAATTACGTGTCACATTGTTTGTCCGCGATGGACTCCTAAACTAATTAAATTAAATTTTGCACACTGTGTGCAGTGAGGTCCAACTTGAGAGGTAGGATAGTTTTTATCCCGGTAAATGACCCTCAAAATTTTTTATTGCGAATTTAATGATTTTTATAGGAAGGAGACGTTGTTCTGCCCTTTCCGATTCTGCCTTTTAAATGGCACTAAAACGAAATGTATGAAATTTATGACTCCAAATGTCAAACAATCAAATACTAATGTAATTTTAAATGGGGAGAAACTGAGTCTTGTAGATACCACCATTTTTCTTGGAATCACACTAGACGCGAAGCTTCAATGGAGCCCCCATATATCAAAACTAGCAAGCGGACTTAGTTCTGCAGCATATGCCGTAAAAAAGATTAGAAGTCTAAATAGTGTTGAAACAGCTCGACTAGTTTACTTTAGCTATTTCCATAGCACTATGTCGTATGGTATTTTGCTATGGGGACACGCAGCTGACACTGAAATTATATTTGTTTTACAGAAGAGGGCCATAAGAGCAATTTATGATTTAAAGCCTAAAGAGTCGCTGCGACAAAAATTTAAGGAAATTAATATATTAACTTTGGCCTCTCAATACATTTATGAAAATGTAATGTACGTACACAAAAATAAAAGTAGTTTTACAAAAATAAGTGATATTCATTCTGTAAATACTAGGAACAGACACAATCTAGTAGTACCAGTTACTCGACTCCATCGAGTCAGTAATTCATTCTTGGGGCGATGTATACGCTTTTACAACAAAATTCCAGAAAATATACAAAAACTTTATTAAACTAAGTTTGTATAAAAAGGGTTATTATAATATTAATGAATTTATAGATGATAATAACCCCTGGAAATGAGGTGATCGCTACCAAGCTATTTCTAATTTATTGTGTTGTTAATTTGTGTAACATACGTGATTGTAAGCTGTTATTTAAAAAAAAAAGTCCCGCAGGGTTTCTTGCTGGTTTTTCCCAGGACAGAGGTTTTTTTTTTATTGACGTGGTAAAGCCATGCCGCAGCTATATTATGGTTGTAGCACGAATGGGTCGGCTCGAACGGGGAAGGACCACGCTCTCACAGAAAACCAGCGTAAAATAGCAGCTTAACGCTGCTGTGTTTCGTATGGTGAGTGTAGAGAACCGGAGACCCTTTTTACTGGCAAAGAGGCATTCCATCTTAGTCCTCACGGGTGACAACGCATCTGCATCTTGAGTCTTTATTGAGGATAGATGTAGATGTCTATGGGTCACAGTAACCACTTACCATCAGGTGGACTGTGTGCTCGTTTGTCACCCGATCCTATAAAAAAAAACCAGTGGTAATCATACAAAAGAGTGACTTTCAATAAGTATTATTTATAATCTATATTGAATAAAAAAGTTTCTGTTTCTGTTTCTGTTCCGAACGACCATTTGCTTTCCCAAAAAAAAACCTAACGTTCCAAGAAGCAATAACAAATAACAACAGTGCCAATCTCCAGTCGCATATAAAATCTAATCTGAACACGCGGCTATTGACTTATATATTAAGTCTTTTTAAGTCAATGTACACGGCAGTGTGTCAGCAAAGATTGGAAAATAAAAGGGCGACGCACCGGCAATGTCAATGTGATTTGAAATTGTTCGTGTAAGAACTATCCCACCAAAAACATTCTGTAAAAAGCTAGCCAAGTCTCGATGGAGCTGCTTGTTTATCTCTAAAAAGTAATGAAATCTAGACAAAGTCGTGCCAAGTCTAAGGTTCCTTACTGCGATTTCTTTATTATTATAGTTAATGTTGTGTGACTTGGCCGTTGAAGGGTACACAAGGGTACAAAACCAGGTGCTACATTGCATACACACCATTGCACCAATCTGTCGCCAGAACCGCTACCCATTGACGATGGAAAATTGCCACTTGGGAAACGTTGATTGAATAACCAGTCAATTGTAAGCTTGATAAAGTTGCGTTTACACGTAATGTTGCACGTAATTATGTTTACACGTAATGTTATATCTGTTGCAGCTACCTATGTTTGTTAAGCGAGATAATAGCCCATAGTGGTATTGGTAATTGGACGCTAGTGTCTCATTTTAGACGGTTGTTGATTGTGCAACACATGCATTGACAATGCTGACTTCCGCTCTCTTCTTTTTGGAGCGTCAAATCGACCACCGATCTAACATAAAATAGACGTACAAACGGACTTCTATCAATGATTAGAAGTCCGCCTGTACTGGAAATAATTTTTTATACTGTTTGTTTCAGGTTCGCCTATACAAAAGTATTATTGAAATACGCAGCTTTATCAAGCCTACAATTGACTGGTTATTCAATCAACGTTTTCCAAGTGGCAATTTTCCATCGTCAATGGGTAGCGATTCTTGCGACAGATTGGTGCAATGGTGTGTATGCAATGTAGCACCTGGTTTTGTACCCTTGTGTACCCTTCAACGGCCAAGTCACACAACATTAACTATAATAATAAAGAAATCGCAGTAAGGAACCTTAGACTTGGCACGACTTTGTCTAGATTTCATTACTTTTTAGAGATAAACAAGCAGCTCCATCGAGACTTGGCTAGCTTTTTACAGAATGTTTTTGGTGGGATTTCACTGCTTTTTGTAGAAACGTGGGCATATTGATTTATTTTATTAGATTTTCTTATTTGACACATTTTTTTTCTTTTTAGGAGTAGTTTTTTTATTATTACAAATCTTTCTTTTCTTTTTTTCCGGTTCTGATTCTTATACAGTAGCAACAGTTTTTCGTATTGCCCATTCGCGTTCATTATTTAGCCTTTTAGACGGTTTAGACGGTTTAATTTCTGAAAGACCGGCGCGGTATTTACGTCTAAGCCGGTTGTATTCGGTGATCGCTGAAGCTTGAGCTTTTATACTCTTGAAGTCAACATTTATGAGGTACACCCCATGAAGATTGGTTACTCGTGAAAGCGCCACGTAGGCTTGGCCACAAGAGAATATGGAGGTGCCAATGTCCATGAGGGCATTTTTTAGACTTAGACCTTGGCTCTTGTGAATTGTTAGGGCATACGCCACACAGATTGGGATTTGTTCTCTGTACACGTATTTTTTTTATGTATCAATAGTAGAAGGGGGCATTACCATATCTCTAATACATCTGAGACCAGCTGAGGGTTCTTCATCAGATACTTCAGACCTTCGATTTTTAACATCAAATGAAGCCGCCCACCAAGTTGAATATATTTGTAAAGGCGGTATGTCGATCTCTTCTAATAGTTTGGTTGGGCTCTTGTGTTTTCTAATCAGGGTCACCAGGTACTCCAGATCTTCGATTATCCTTGTTTTTATAGTTTTTCCTTTATGTGGCCATTAAACCCTAACTCTGTACCAAATTTCAGCTCTCTGAGTTTATGGGAAGTACTAGTTCTATTCTGATGATCATGAGTGAGTGAGTGTCATAAATGCGAAACTTTGCTTTCGCTTAACTTCGGAACTAAATGACCTACAGACTTGAAATTTTGGATTTTAAGTATGTGATTATAGCTTACTGGGTGACGAAAATTTCTGCGTTCTGGTCTTATCCGGAGGTTCTCAAATAGGGGCCTGAAAATGCGGCGAAATGGTTCCAGTAAAGGATGGTACGGCAGTGTTCGCTTCGCGCTCGACTTGGCGGGGGCACTGCCGTGCCCCCCGATTTGAAATCACTTTAACTTAAGTTCACTTAAGTCACTTAGAATTAAGAAGTAAATTGTGTGCGTAAATCATACTCATACGAGTACAATAATATCATGTTAGATCCAATCCGTTCCAAGTTAGTCCCGACGCGACGGACACTATTGTAAATCAAGTGGTTAAAGTAAATATGTATTGTATAAGTTAAATTAAACTAATTTTTACGGATTCTATCGCGTTTAATTTTACTTTCTATTTCCCGACCTTGACCGTGACCATGGGTGCTGTAAAGCAGGGGGGGGGGGGGCTGAGGTGGTTGACGTCCCGATGTCATAGTTAGGCTACCTTCAGTTTTTGAATATTAAATTAAATGCGATAGAATCTGTAATATTTAGTTTCATTTAATGTGTAGTCTTCGCGTAAATATAACAAATCATTACCGTGCCAGTATTATCAATTTTTATTGCCAGCAATATCAATAACAATCACCTAGACAACAATAATCTGTACATGCTTATTCTTATGTTTATTCATTGTACCTATTGTAGTTCTTGAGTTATAAAGGTCTGAAAAGTGCCACTTTTATCACTCACTGACGCACTAATCCAAAACCTAAGTAACGTCCGGAATTAAAAAGTAAAAACTGTAAAAGTAGTTTCATTATATGTTATCATCAACTCCTATCAGCGATATTTGTCGTAATTGCCACGCTTGTCGAGTGTGTTGGCCATCGTAGTTTTATTTTTTATTTTATGTTGTCATTAGAACGACAATGCTGCCCATCTAGTTTGTTACTGTTTGTTCGGCGTTTGACGTAGTATTACGTGTAGTTAATATTATTCCACCGCTGCTACGCGGTCACAAGGTCTAATGCTCGCCTTAAAATTTTATAGTAGACAATAAATTTGATAAATTTTATTCAAACTTTATAAAATCATACCTGTAGAGCCTGTAGAGATGGAAGATAATACTGCTCATGTAAATGAGAACGATAATGACAGCGGGCAGCAGGAAGGTGACGATCACCGGTGTCAGGAACCACGTGAGCCACAAACTGTACTCGGTGTCCACATACTCCACTGAAAGAAAGAACGATAACATCTTCATTTAAAGCAAAACAAAACAATATAATATATTATTGCACAGATATATTTCTACATAATTAATGTATTAAAGCAACAAATAAGCATCCGATTCAGCAATACCCTATAGTGCAAAACCTGAAGCACTCATATTTTGCCCATGGCCTTATATTTTTTTTATAGGAGAGGGGGCAAACGAGCATGCGGCTCACCTGATGGTAAGTGACTACCGCCGCCCATGAACAACCGCAACACCAGGGGAATTGCAAATGCAATTGAAGAAAACATCTTCTATATCGCACAGTGGTGGACCGCCAATCATCCAGGTGGTACGAATGGTATCGCAAGTTTTGTCGCGATGTGCGATGGTGAAATTGAGCGGCTGGAATTAGTTTTTATCAGAGCTGGCACTGGGGTGCCCCGGCCCAGAGATGAGAACAGTATTCCATGTGAGGCCGAACTTGCGCTTTGTAAAGTTGCAAGCGATGTGCCGGCATGAATTACTGTCTCGCTCTGCTGAGCACGCCAAGCCTTTTTAGAGGCCAATTTGGCCTTCCCTTCCAAGTTACCACGAAACTGCACACTATTCGATATGTCGACGCCGAGGATTCCGATGCTAGCTGAAGCAGCAAGGGGAGTGCCTTGAAACCGAGGAGATACGACGACAAAGGGGTTCTTTTTAGCGGTAAACGCGCAAACTTGTATCTTCTGGGGATTAAACTGGACTAGATTTAGTCGCCCCCAAACCGAGACTGTGTTCAGCAAAGACTCGACTTCTGACACAAGTTTCTCCCGGTACTCAGCGACGTTTTCGTAAATAAATAACAATATATACGCTTTTACAACAAAATCCCAGAACATATTCAAAGTTTGTCAATAAACAAGTTTAAAAGTTTTGTTAAAGAAAAATTGTACAAAAAGGGTTGTTATAATATCGAATACATAAATTAAAATAAACCCTGGGAATGACGCGATCGCCACCATTCTGGTTCTGTTCTATTAAAATTTATTTAAAAATTGTACAAACAAAATTATTGTAAAGTGAAATATGTTTAAAAAAAAAGTCTCGCTGGGTTTCTTGCTGGTTCTTCCCAGGACATAAGTTATTTCGAAAACAGTGGTAAAAAATGACTTTCAATAAGTATTATGTAATGATCAATATTGAATAAAAAATCATTCTATTCTAAATTGTGCTTTCCAGACCGAATTTCGACCACAGTGGTCAGTTTGAACGGAAACTAGCCATCTGCATAGTATGTGCAAACTGCAAGCACATGTGCATTCTCTATTCCCTCACTCTCATAGTCCGATTAGACGGAATTCCGGCACGACTGGAGAAAGATCACACGCAGGAGCAACGGCTTCACGTGCGTTCCGAAACACGGAAATGAAACACCGCAATCTTACTGACGGGTAGCTACTGAGAATTTCTTGATAGAAAAACACAATAACTCAGCAGTCGCTAGACTAATGGACAGTCAGTTAACGGGGTTATTAGTACTTGTACTATAATCTATTCTGTGGTATGAGTAATATTCACAACGTGAATAAAATAGAATACTATTTTAATCTTATCGTTATTGTATATGTAATCAAATACGAATATGAATAATAAACACAAGTTATAGTCTTTTATTAGCATGGTGCGTGTGACAGCTTACAGTTTGGCGTGTCTAGAGATGAAACAATGTTAAATCGATTTAAAAAAAGGCGATGAACAGTACGCAAAGCAAAGTAAAAATTATCGATTAGCTATTGATATAAAAGTTAAAGTTAGGGAGATGAGTCGCTCGCGTCCGTAGGCTTCGACCACCTAACCCTAGCCGTTCGATTAGCCCACCCTACACGTGTCCCCCGGGTGGTGCTAATCGAACGGCAAAGCCGAAACGATAGACTCGGCTACTCGCCGTATGGTAGCGGCGTAAAATCTACCACCCCTTAGATCGCACCATGAGCCAACAGTTAAAAGCAATGGCCCCGAGTTCCCGGCGCCCCTTTAATGGGGCAGGGCTGCGAAGAATCTCCGGGAGGAAAACTGGCGACGATATTGGCCACCCGTCACGTCCTGTCTCCCGGAGGGGCGAAAAGTGGATTGCGGAGGCCCCTCTGGCTACGCTGAATGTATGTGGAGCAATGAATGATAAGATGGATAAAATATGCGAAATGATGAATGATAGAGGAATAGATGTGTTATGTGTGAATGAGACGAAACGAAAGGGAAGAGATGTCACTGCACATGGCATGTATACCGCTTACTGGTCTGGTGTAGACGAGACCGAGCGGGCATGCCAGGGAGTCGGTGTCATCCTTTCAGAAAGAATGGGTCAATGTGTGTAAGAGTATGAACGTGTAAGCCCAAGGCTGCTGTGGATACGAATGAAAGTGGGTTTAAAGAAGTTGTTCTTGCTTGGGTGTACGCCCCAGATACATCTAAGCCCACTTATATCCGAGAGCAGTTTTGGGACATGGTAAGGCTGGTGTTCACGAATTGTAAGGAAAATGAAAATATTATTATGTTAGGAGATTTTAAGGCGCAGGTTGAGCAAAATGTCGCGCTAGTCGTTATTTGGGCGGTTTTTAGAAGCTATCTACTTTTTATTTAAAAGATATATCAACAAATAAAAAACACATTATATTTCTACATAATCTTGATTCCATAAAAGCTATATCCAATTTTTTTTAAAACGAATAAATATTAATATAATCTCCTTACAACGAAACCACATAAATGTGAAATTATTATTATATATAGATAACATGGATCTCCTCGTAAAGTAAGTATTATTTTATTTTGCGATTTACACCAATGGATAGACAATTTATTAATAAACATTTCTATAGTAAATTTTTTTTCAAAAGACCAAAATTTGATTTTATTAAGAAATTATTTTAAAATTTGGGCATATTCACTGCTCACGGGCTTGCTAGAGTCAGTGAGCCCTGAGCTCTTCGACGCGAAGCCCGTGTCGTTAGAGCGTCGACCAGCGCCGCATACACTCACGTAATATCAGTCGATAAATAATATTACTTATTAGGTTATTTATAGGTAGTATTATTTGTTTGTTTTGGGTATAATTTTTCGTATTAGTTATACATATATTTGTTGTGTTTTTTACTGCGCGATGAAGCTTTTTGCGTGTATTTTCTTTGAAGTAAATGCAAATAAAAAAATGAAGCACCATTGGCATGTAAGGTTCGAATCCATAATTAAAATTTCGATAAATATTATAATTTACACTATAAAAGGCTAATTCAATATTATCACCCAACCACAATATCTTATTACGTACAGTACTGCCTCGTTGGTCTAGTGGTTGTAGTAGTGCGACTGCTGATCATTAGGTCCCGGGTTCGAATCCTGGGTCGGGCCCTGTCAGTTATGAGTTTTTCATTTATGTTCTAAGTTATAATTAGTATTACTAAGTTATAGTTTTTTGCTAAAATATAGTATATTATTTATTGCTTGTTTTTTCTTCTTTTTCAAAAAATAATTGAGTACATAAGGTGTTCTATACTTATAATTCGGTAAAAAGTATCTAAGTAGGTACTAATATACCTACTTTTTACTACTAAAAATTTTTAAAACTAAATTTAACTAAAAAGACTAAACTGACCATTTATTTTTTAACTCAAAACAGGACATGGGTTTATTTATACTCTAAAAACTATAACTTTATACAATTAGTGTTCACTGTAAAATTATATTCGGTATAGACGGTAATTATTAAATGCAACATATTTTTCTTAATTATTAATTACATTTGTCAGTGGATTAAATTTTCTTTAATAAAGTTGGTGATGATTTTAAATAAAAATAAAATTCTGCTCAAGTTTTTTTATTGTTATCTTTGTTAACAACATCGCCTTTAGAACTCTGGAACCGTAAGTGTTTCTTTCAGACGTCCACAATTTATTCAAAATAAAAAAAATACTCTTTCTACCGGAGCATTCGTAGCAGGTAGACATAAAATATATTCGATTAAAAAAAAATATGTTGAAGATTGTTGACTTTGAATACTTCCATCCAACGAGTTACGGGACAATTTTGTGTCCCGGAGCTTTGTTTGGGGACAATGGGACAGGTGACCGAGAAAAGGGACAGTCCCGTTCAAAACGGGACGTGTGGTCACTTTAGCTATAACCCGGCGACGGCTACGTGGGGCAGTGGCTTAGCAATTAGTTGTTGCGCTGGGGGCCGCGGGTTCGAATCCCGCACGGAACAAGTATTTGTATGGCTTACAAATAATTGTTCCGGGTCTGGATGTTTGTCCTTGTGCAATTTATGTTTGTAAACTGCCTCCACGACACAGGAGAAAATCCTAGTGTGGGGGTAACGTTTTTTTACAATTGAAATTGAAAGATTGAACCCTTATACTTCTTGTTGATTTTTGTATTAGTACTCGTAGTTAGGTATATTACTTTTCAATACGTGACACGTAAAAATTAACAATAATCAAAAACACATCTACGAAACATCCTATTTATTTATTTATTCTTTCTTGCACCAAATATTTGTACAAAAGGCGAGCTATATATTTATTTACCTATAGTGAATAGGTATCTTTTAAACTCACAATTTTCAATGCTTCATTTTTAATATATAATTAATTATAAAATTTCATAATTAGATAATATATGAGAATACATAATTCTAATATAATGCAACTAATATACCGAATAAAAAAATTAAAATACGTTTATCGTTGTACGCTGTGTGTATTTCCATAAATTAGTTCATTGATGTTGAAAAAATAATACTACGTTCGTACCTACAATAGGTGGTGGCGTCGTACATATTTCAAATAAGCAATATATTGAGGCGCGCGGCGTGCCGCCGGCAAAATGCTCAAGGTCGTTCGCATGGAGTAGCCCCTTAATGGAAGGGTTGGGGTGAAGAGGTCTGGTTATGAAAGGATATTAGGAGCGTTTGGCGATGAAAGAATAAATGAGAATGGTGAAGACCTCCTCACCGTATGTGTGTAAAAGAATATTTTTGT